ATGTGTGTATATAAAAGGATACCTCAAATCATTCTTACTTGCAGTCATTCTTTTTTTTTGCGGGGGGGGGATACCAGGAATTGAACTCTGGACCTTACACTTGCCAGGCAGGCGCCTGTGCCACTGAACTATATCCCCAGCCCCTACTTACAGTCATTCTGACTGAACTCAGTCTTTCATTTGCTAAGCATTTACTCTACCACTAAGCTCCACCTCTAGCCTCTGAAATGAATTTTTAAAAAATTATGTATCTCTGACAACAAAATAATATGTGAAGAAGATATTTAACATTGTGGAAAATATAAAAACTATAGACAGGTGTGGTGGCACACACCTATCATCCCAGCACTTGCGAGGCTGAGGCAGGATTGCTGCTTTAGCTCAGCCTGGGTGATTTAGTCCCAGTCTCAAAATAAAAATTTAAACTGGGCATGGTGACACATACCTATAGTCCCAGCACTGGGGAAGCTGAGGCAGGAGGATCCCTGAGTTTGAGGTCTGGGCTGCATAGTGAGTTCAGGGTCAGCCTGAACTACATAGTAAGACCCTGTCTCAAAAAAAAAAAAAAAAATCAAACAAACAAACCAAGTAAACAACTGCCCTTTAAAAAATTTCTCACAAGTTTTAGCCTATTTTCTGCCATTAAGTTTTATTTTCTGGCCAGGCATTGTAGCGCATGCTTGCAATGCCAGCACTCAGGAGGCTGAGACGGAAGGCCTGCTTTGAGTTCGAGGCCAATCTGAGCTACATAAGTGAGTTCAAGGCCAGCCTGCACTACACAGCAAAACCTTGTCTCAAAAAACAAACAAACAAACAAACAAAAAACCCAAAATTTATTTTCTGTGGGTCTATTTTAACATGGCTAAAATCACAATGCTTAGTCAATTTTTCTTTTTTTTTCCCCCTCAGTACTAGAGATGGAACCCAGGGCCTCACACATGCTAGGCCAGTGCTGTGCCACTGAGCTACATCTCCAGTCCGGTTTGGTCCATTTTTTTTGTTGTTGCTCCTCTTGAGACATGATCTTACTGTTTGGCCCAGGCCAGCCTTGAAACTTACTTCATTGCCCAGATTTGCTTCAAACTCACAATTCTCTTGCTTCAGTTTCTTGATGAGTGGAATCGCAGGTGTGCACCATCACACCCAACCCTGGTTTAGTCAATTTTATATTTGTTTTATTCCCATTACATCATGAGTGTTTTTCTATGTAAAAACTCCTCAGAAATATTTTAATGATTGCAAAATAACCCTTAATATATACTCATATATACTTAGACAAGCCATAATTTACTTTAGAAGTCCCTTAACTATATATTAAAGCAGACTGTAATTTTCACAATAGTAAATAATGTTGCATTGAACATTTTTATGCTTGAATCCCTACAGGCATTATACATTTACCTTCGAATAGATAACTTTAGCCAGGCATGGTGGCCCACGCCTGTAATCCCAGCACTTGGGAGGCTGAGGCAGGAGGATCGTTGCAAGTTCAAGACCAGCCTGGGCTACAAAGTGAGCTCAAGGCCAGTCTGAACTGCATAGCGAGACCCTGTCTCAAAGAGACAAAAAAAAAAAAAAAAAGACAAAAGGATATTTTTAAGATTCTTGAGTACCTGTTCTACAGGAAACTTGTACTTCTTGAAGAAATTTAAAAATCTTCTATTAGTAGGTAAGCAAGGAATATCAACTAATTAACTTTCAAGAGGGAAAAACTATAATGGTAAACTCGTTAACACAGAGAGCTGAGGGTGGAGAATATCCCACACCCTGACCTTTGCCACTGAGGTGACAAGGACTGCATCTGCTGCTCAGAACTGTTATTTCCCTGCACGCTTCTAGTTTACCAGATTACTCTCAGACTCCTCAGTCGGCCTACAATTCTTCCTCTTCCTCAGCACCTGCTTTGCCCTGCCTGTCCCTGCCTGGCCACCTTCAGCAGGACTGTCACCTACTCGGAGCTCCTCTACCCAAGACAGCTTCTCTACCCTGATCTTGAGATCAGAAAAATTTGTCTTAGATCAACTTAATCTTCTGTCTCTCTCAACAATTTTAAGATAAACTGAGGGCTGGGAATGCAGCTCAGTGGTAGAGTGCCTGCCTCTCACATGCACAAGGTCCTAGGTTTGCACTGGGGAAGAAAAATACACAAAATGAAACATTAAGAATTACTTTGAAAAAAGAAAGAACAAACTGATGAAGGTCAAATAATGCATGGAGCCTGCATGACAATACATGCCCATAATCCCTGTACTTGGGAGACAGGGGCAGGAGCACCCTCCTGAGTGCAAGGCCAGCCTGGAATACACAGAGGGACTCTTAACTCAAAAAAAAAGGTGTGGTGGCCCACACCTGTAATCCCAGCACTCAGGAGGCTGAAGCAGGAGGATCGCCATGAATCTGAGGCCAGCCTGAACCACATAGTGAGTTCAAGGCCAGCTTGTACTACATAGCAAGACGTCTCAAAAAAAACAAAAAATAAGCTCAAGGTCCTGAGTTCGATTCCCAGTTCCAAAAATAAATAAATAAATTTTAAATAAATAAACTAATGCAGGAATGCGCAAGCCAACCCTTCACACAAGCGTCAAGTTAAAGAGAAAAGCCTGGACCCTACCATGACTAAGTGTCCCCAGTTTATTGAGAGGCATGCGCTTGCCTCTCGTGCTTACCTGAGCATGATTCCACCCAAACGAATGGCTCTCTTCCAGTCCTTCAGAGTGGACTTGCCAGCCAGATGGACAAAATGCTTAGGGCTGATCAGCTGATCATTAAACTAAAGTAAAAAGAAAAGTCCAAAGTAGTCCAGTGTCAACTTGGGCAGGTCAAGAAAAAAGAATGAAATGATAACTTCACTTGCTCTGTGCAAAAAATACCGAAACAAAACTGCATTTTTGTTGTTGCTGTTGTTATATTTTTTGAGATAGGGTCTCGCCATGTAGTTCACACTGGCCATGAACTCATGGGGATCCTCCTGCCTCAGCCTTTGAGTGCTGGGATTATAGGCATGTGCAACCACACCTGGCACAAAATCGTAATTCTTACACAACCTCCTGGTGCCGGTGATGATCCTTCTCTGAGCACAGTGCCCTGTCCTGACACAAAGCTACAGAGCACACGGGGAGGCTCAGAGATGGTATTGGTCAGCATCTGGAGTCCACTTACACCCTCAATCAGGTGTTTAGTGTTGCAAAGGCTGATCAAATAGCTGGGCCAGGTGGCGCACACCTGTAATCCCAGCACTCAGGAGGCTGAGACAGGAGAACTGCCATGAGTTCAAGGCCAGCCTGAACTATACAGCGAGACCTTGTCTCAAAACAAACAAAACACTGATCAAGTAAATTGAAGTAATCTATTCAGCCCTAGTCACAAGAGTCAGGATGGCAGAAAGAACAAGTATGGAGGAAACCAATAGAGGTGCAAAGCCCAAAAACGTTACATCCTTATTAATCTAGGGTAATGTCATTATGCAGCATAGTACCTGTTGATACAGCGGTGTCCACTAATGGAGACAGAATGAACAGTTACTTTCACATTATTCTCTCATGATAATTATTTATTTTTATCAAAAATTTTGAATAAATCCTACTTCAATTCATCCCAGTGTGCATGTATATATATATGATGTATATGAGCATGTGTAAATCACTCTATTTGAATATATGAGGCTCTGGAATATTAAGTAACTTGGTTAAGAGTCACCCGGTCAGTGACAGAGATGAGATTCCACTCACTCATTCATTGAATAAATATTTATTCATCACTATGAATCACCAGGCACTTTTCAGGCTGTGGATGTAGCCCAGTGACGGGGTATATACTCAGCAGGTACAAGGTTCTGGGTTCAAATCCCAACACATACATACAAAAAAAGAAAGAAAAAGAAGCAATACTCTATGTGCAGAGTTTATACTGGTGAATAAAAAGATGAGCTCCCTTCTCTTACAGGACTGTTATGCTACTGGGAGTTAAATCCAGGTCAGTCTCATTTCACAATCTTTTTTGTTTTTCCTACCATGAGTGACACAGTAGAGCAATAGTTATAAAATTAGAAACATTGACTTGAGGCTGGGAATGTTTACCTAGCATATACAAGGCTCTGAGTTCAATCTCTTGCATTATAAAAAAAAATGATTGAGTAGAAGGGAGTGGGGAGGCCTTGCAGCAACACTGTTGAAGACAAGGAGCCCCGGAGAGGCCTCAGCAAGAAGACAGTTACCTTGACGCACTTCACGTTTATTCCTGGACACACAAACTTCTTCCAGAGGAGGATGGCTTTGCTCTCCCCGCAAGTTATGGGGTAGGCAATTTCCATGTCCTCATTTGCTTCTATAGTGCTTGCATCTGAAAATGGAAAAAAGGTCAGTTATTTATCGGACAAGTTTTCCTGAAAGCTCCAATTACAAATTTCTAATTCTCGGGTTCCTCTGAGGAACTCTCTCGCTGTTGTTTAGGCTCCTCTGGAAGAAGCCTGGCAGAACAGCTATTTCTGAGAAGCTCTCACCATGTACTAGAGGCCATGTTACCCGCTTTTACGCGAGGAGCATTGTTTTGTTCTAAGAAAAATCTTATCAGGCAGTAACTGTTTCCTGTGTTTTATACAGAAGTGTATGAAACTCAGAAAGGTAAGTGCTTTTCCCAAGGGTACGCAGCTAAGAAGTGACAAAGCAGGGCTGAAATGCAGACTCAGGTTTGTGTACTTTGGAGTTTCTCCTGCCAACAGCCAACACATCGTCAGTCCTCACGGCAACTTCCGTAAGCACAGGGCTCAACCTTGAGGCTCCAATTTCTTTGTGGGTTTCTCTTTTATTCTTTTTTTTTTTTTTTTTTTTGGTGCTAGGGATCAAACCCAGGGCCTCACGCATTCTAGGTAAGAACTCTATCTTGGTGGCATATTTATGATAAAAGAATCTTTTCAGGCCATGTATGGTAGAGTGTGCCTGTAATCCCAGCACTCGGGAGGCTGAGGCAGGAGGACTGCCTCAAGTTCAAGGGCAGCCTGGGCTACAAAGTGAGACCCTGTCTCTAAAAAAAATAAAAACTAAAATGAATAAATAAAGACAAAAACAAAGAATCTTTTCAGCTACCCTAGCAGATTAATGTTAAACAATCCGCTCACAGCCTTGGGATCTTAGTAGCACCTCTAGACGTGCCACCATCAAGTCAGTGGAGCAGTACTTGTAGGTACACGGGATGGAAAGACAGAAGGTACAAAAGGCAGAAAATCTCAGGCTGGTAGTGGAGCTCAACAGTACAGCGCTCGCCTAGCACTGCAAGGCCCTGGGTTCTGTCCCCAGCACCAAAACCATTTTAAAAAGTCAGTAATCACAACCAAAGACACTAAGGTCAAGGGCACTAGAATAACAGACTTACCAATTCCTTCTTCAATTTTGTGTATTGTGTGAGTTTCTACCGCTACAACAGCCGTGTTGTTCTCCGACCCGGGTTCGTAAATCCTGTTGTAGAAGTGCCCATCAATAAGCACACTACATGAATTATTGAAAATTAATCTTCATAACATGAGGTTAAAATTTTTGTTTTAATCTACCTCAAAGGAACAAATAAAGGGTTACACTTTAAAGCTGGGCATGGTTGCACACACCTGCTATCCCAGCACTTGTGAGGCTAACGCAGGAGGACTGATGCAAGTCTGAGATGAGGATGAGCTACAAAATGACCAGTCTGAACAAACTAGCAAGACCCCGACTCACAAAACAACCAAACAACAAGTAAATACATACATATACATACTTGACAACGCTACCTTAATGTTTTGATTAGTTTCTCATTGTACGTATGTATTTTTGTGGTGCTGGGAATCGAATCATAAGTCTTTGCACTGAGCTGCATCCCCAGCCCTTTTTCATTGAGACAGGGTCTTGCTAAGTTACTCAGGCAGGACTCACCTTGTCGTCTTCCTGCCTCAGCTTCTCAGAGCACTGGGATTTCAGGCATACAGCACCACTCCATCACTCCCAGCTACTTTAACATCTTTTAAGGCATCATAACCCAATTATTGGTATGAGCAAAATCTACTAAGAAAAAGGTAGGAGACCCTATACCCACAGTAACCAGAGGCACCATGTAATGGAAGGTTATATAATGCTGAACACCTTAAAAAGTCTCTACATTAAGGAATCAGATAATTTAGCATGATATACTGGTGGTCTTTGTTTAATTTCTTTTTTTTTTTTTTTTTTCCTTTTTGAGACAGGGTCTTCCTATGCAGTTCAGGCTGGCCTTGAGCTCACTATGCAGCCCAGGCTGGTCTTGAACTTGCAATGATCCTCCTGCCTCAGCCTCCCAAGTGCTGGGATTACAGGCGTGCGCCACCACACCCAGCTTGTTTAATATCTACAATAAAACAGATATGAGTCAGACATGGTGGCTCACACCTGTAATCCCAGCACTTGGAAGGCTGAGGCAGGAGGATCTCTGCGAGTTTTGAGTTTGAGGACTGCCTGGGCTACAAAGTGAGCTCAAGGCCAGCCTGAACTGCATAGTGAGACCCTGTCTCAAAAAAGACAAAAACAAACCAACAACAACAACAAAATCTGATATGTAAATTCTTGCACCTTGTTATTTAAAAGCACTCCCTAAACAATCTTGGCATTGGTGACCTCCCCCTCTACGGGGATACCTCGAGCACCAGCCTCTCTTCCAAGAGTGCCGAACCCTAACCACTACACCACCGGAGAGTGTCTGTACCTTTCTTCAATGTTACACCAGGATGCACCTGATGCCATGTTAATACATGTACATGTTCCATAAGACTGTTAAATTTATTATGTCTAAAATAATAGCTGGATGTGGTGGCGCATGCCTGTTATCCCAGCACTCAGGAGGCTGAGGCAGGAGGATGATTCCCAAGTTCAAGGCCAGCCTGGGCTCCATAGTGAGTTCAGGGCCGGCCTGGACTGCATAGTGAGACCCTGTCTCTAGATAAGTAAGTAAGTAAATAAATAAATAAATATTGTTAGAATTAAATAGAAGGAAGGGAGGAAAGAAAAGATGGAGGGAGGGAAAGAAGGAAAAAGAAAAAAGTGAAATTGAGGACATACTTTAAAGCCAATCTAGGGCTAGGGATATAGCTCAGAGGCATAAGCGCTTGCCTGGCAGGCCTGAGGTCATGAGTTCAATTCCCAGTACCAAAAAATAAATAAATAAATAAATAAATAAAACCAATCTAACAAAAAAAGTAGGAAGAAAAAAAAGCCAAGGCCAGGCATGGTGGTGCACACCTGTAATTCCAGCATTCGGGAGGCTGAGGCAGGAGGATCACAGTGAGTTTGAGGCCAGCCTGGGCTACAGTGAGACACTGTCTCAAAAGACAAAAGAAAAAAAGAAGAGAAGAGAACAGAAGAGAAGAGAAAACCAATCTAGAGTTAGTTTTTTGTTTTGTTTTTGAAGACAAGGCCTTGCTCAGTAGCGCAGATTTGCTTTGAAGTCACTATGTAGCCAGGCTGGCTACAAACTCACCGAAATCCTACTGTCTCAGCCTCCTGAGTGCTGGGATTATAGGCCTTTGTCATCATGCCTGGCTCAATCTATAGTTAATATGAAAGTATCAGGGCTGGGGATTTAGCTCAGCGGCAAAAGTGCCTGCCTGGCAAGTGCAAGGTCGTGAGTTCGGTTCCCGGTACTGGAGAAAAACCAAAAAAAAAAAAAAAAAAAAAATATGAAAGTATCATTTTATATAAAAGTATCATCTTATATACAATGAGTTAAGTTCTATGTATACATATGTGGAGACAGTTACCAGTCTACTTTTGCTATGTAGTTTAGACTGGCCTTGAACTCACTATGTAGCCAAATCTGACCTCAAACTCAGGTGATCCTCCTGCCTGTGCCTCTTGAGTGCTGGGATTATAAATGTGTTGCCACTACACCCGGCCAGTCTACTTGCCTAATGTATTCATGCAAACATACACATAATGAATACCTGAAAAAGTATAAAATGTGATGTATGTAAAAAGTAAAAAGATATGTAAGAAAGCATATTTTCAGTATTTTAAAAAAAACAGAAGCCAGACGTGGTGGTGCACACCTGTAATCCCAGCACTCGGGAAGCTGAGGCAGGAGGATTATTTTAAGTTCAAGACCAGCCTGGGCTACAAAGTGAGCTCAAGGTCAACTTGAACTGCATGGGGAGACCCTGTCTCAAAAAGCAAAACAAAACAAAATCAATATATTCCCAGAATTTTACCCATGTTCTTTGAGTGTTTCTTTCCTTCACACCTGAACCCAAAGCCAAGCAGGTGAAGCATGACAACAGCTGCGCTCGGGCATCCATGCTGCCCACCTTTGTCTCAAGTGTGTTAAACTGATGAGACCTATGAAACTTGGGACACTGTTTGTTCCCCCACTCATTTTCTTTTCTTTTTTCCAGTACCGAGAATCAAACTCACGACCTCAAACTTTTTTTTTTTTTTTTTGTCTTTTTGAGACAGGATCTCATTATGCAGTTCAGGCTGGACTTGAACTCACTCTGTAGCCCAGGCTGGCCTGGAACTTGCAACAATCCTCCTGACTCAGCCTCCTGAGTGCTGGGATTACAGGTGTGCACCACCACGCCCAGCAACAACCTCAAACTTGCCAGGCATGTGCTATGCCACTGAGCTAGTCCCCCCCACACACACACACTCATTTTCATAAAATGAGGCTCAAATGAAATAAAATATTCAAACAATTCGATATTTGAGCACCATGTTGCCTGGTCATGCCGTGCATGACCATAAGCCCAGTGCTGTGGCAGCTGAAGCCAAAACAATGACAAGTTCAGGCCCAGCCTGGGAAACATAGAGACTTATGAGACCCCCCATCTCCAAGCAAAATACAAAGAGGGGCTGGGGATGCAGCTCAGTGTGAAGACCCAGGATTGACTCTCTAGTGCTGAAAAGACAAAAAGGTACTAGCTCATCATCTGTAGCCCATGTACTAAACTCAAACTAAACAGTGGCTTGAGGAGTAAAATATATGTTGGAAAAAGATGCCTAATATCTAAATATAACATAAAAGCAGAAATTAAAGCCGGGCATGGTGGTGCATGCCTATAATCCCTGCAGGTGGGAGGCTGCACCAGGAAGGTCAAAAGTTTGAGCCCAGCTTGGAGAACTTAGCAACTTAACAAAACCCATCTCAAAATAAAAAGTAAAAAAAGTACTGGGGATATAGCTCAGTGTGAAGACCTTGTGTTCAATCCACAGTAATACACACACCACACACATAAACACACAGGCACCCTAATGGGTTAGGAACGGAGCTGAGTGGTGAAGTGCTTGCCTAGTATGGGAAAGGGCTTAGGTTTGACCCCAGCATGGAGAAAAGACTAAGATTATAACACAAATGTTTTTTTCTTTCTCTACTAGGGACAGGAAAGATAACTGGGACACTTTAAGAAAGATAGAAGATGATGGTGAACACTTGCAATCCCAGCATTCTGTGAGGCTAAGGCAGGAGGACTCTGAGTTCCAGCACAGACTGGGCAGTTTAGTGACTCTGGAAGCAAAAACTAAAAAGGGTTAGACATAGAACTCAGTGTGAAAGCTCTGGGTTCAATCCCCAGTACCAGGAAAGGAGGAAGGGAGGGAGGGACAGGAAGAAAGAAAAACAGACTCATGAGAAAATAAGGCTACCAAAAACTAAAGAACCTACTCTTTATGTACCAAAAAGTAACAATAACAAGTGTGTATACGCGTGCTTAATAAATAATGTTTCTAAAGCTGGGCATGGTGGCACACGCCTGTAATCCCAGTACTCACGAGGCTGACGCAGGAGGATCGTTGCGAGTTCCAGACCAACCTGGGCTACAAAGTGAGCTCAAGGCCAGCCTGAACTGCATAGCGAGACCCTGTCTCAAAAAGACAAAAAAATAAATAACTAAATTCACACAGCTGCCGCTAAACTACATCCCCAGCACAATTCTAAACAGTCTTTAAACGTTATCAAGGGGAGTGGCTGGGGGCACAGCTCACAGAGTGAGCTCACCCAGCTCACTCACTGGGGGCACATGCAAAAAGCCTTGGGCTTAACTTCCAGTTCAGAAAAAAAAAATTACCAAGAGAAATGAACTCTAAGTCCAAAAATGTGTAAGACATGATATATTACTTAAATTAGGATCAGATTATGTGTCTACCCAGGAACATTCTAATCCTATGAAGAATCTATATAGTCCCCAAGACAGAATTTCCTCTCCACTCTTCAAATCTAATTCTTATTTGTTTTTTTTTTCTTTTGAGACAAGGTCTCTTCATGTAATTCAGGATAGCCTTGAACTCACTACGTAGCCCAGGCTGGGGATTGTCTTGCCTCAGCTTCCTGAGGGCTGGGATTACAGGTGTGTGTCACCATGCCTGGCCCTCTTATTTATTCTTTAAGATCCATTTTTAAATTTTCTCTCTTAGTGTTGATAATACAGTTCAATGGTGCCATATGCCTGGCACACACAAGGTCGAGGTTTGAGCCCTAGCACCGAAAAACAAACATGGCCAGGTGTGGTCATGCATCCCTATAATTCCAGGATCGCCAGCCTGGGCTAAATAGTGAGTTTATGCCAGCTTGAATTACATAGCTAGAGACCTTTTCTCAAAAATCAAAAATTTACACCTGTAATCCCAGCACTCAGAAGGTTGACGCAAGAGGATCACTGTGAGTTCAAGGCCAGCCTGAACTCCATAGTGAAATTCTGTCTCAAAAAGAAAAAAATAAAATAAAATAAAAGTAACCAAACAAAAGGTTTTGTTTTTTTTGTTGTTTTTTTTTGTCTTTTTGAGACAGGGTCTCTCTATGCAGTTCAGACTGATCTTGAGCTCACTTTGTAGCCCACCCAGGCTGGCCTCAAACTTACAATGATTCTCCTGCTTCAGCCTCCTGAGTGCCGGGATTACAGGCGTGCGCCACCACGCCCAGCTTAAACAAAAGACTTTTATCTCAACTTTCAAATTCACAGTGATCTAAACTCCAAAGTACTTCCCAACTATGCCAGGCAGCACTTCTTAGATTCTGCCATAGAACTAATTGTATTATTTATATACACGTATTTTTGGTTTTTTGGCAATCAAACTCAGGACCTTGCCCTTGCCAGGCAGGCACTGTGCCACTGAGCTATATCCCCAGCCCTATTTTTGGTTTTTATAACTAGCTTGCAAACTCTACTGTGATAAGAACCTTGTGCTACATTTCTTCAAACACCTTCATAATATAATGTATAATTTTTATTTTTGGTCCTAGGAGAGATTGAACCCAGAGCCTTTGCACTAAGCTACAGCCCTTTTTAAATTTTGAAGCAGACATGGTGGCACAGGCCTGTAATCGGGAGGCTGAGGCAGGAGAATCACTGTAAGTTTGAGACCAGCCTGGGCTACAAAGTGAGCTCAAGGCCAGCTTGAACTGCATAGCGAGATCCTGTCTCAAAAAGACTAAAAAAATAAATTTATTTTGAGACAGGATCTCACTACGCTACTAAATTGCCTAGGCTGGACTAATGATCCTTTTGCTTCTGCCACCTAGAGTATGAGATTACTCTAGGCATACACCATCATACACAGTTTGATATATACTTTTTGATAGACTAAACTTGATAATTTGGCCATTCATGACCTAAGAGAACTACAATGGAAGTATTTTTTTTTTCATGTTTTTTGTTTGTTTTAGAAGTACTTTTGTAGTTGCCTTGCCCAATCTCTTCTGATTCTAACTACACTGCCTTTGGGTAATATGGACTGAGGGTCTGTGCTAAATAGTATGGATAATTAAAATGTGATGGGCTGGGTATGGTGACGCACGCCTGTAATCCCAGCACTTGGGAGGCTGAGGCAGGAGGATCCTTGCAAGTTCAAGGCCAGCCTGGGCGACAAAGTGAGCTCAACGTCAGCCTGAACTGCATAGTGAGACCCTGTCTCAAAAAGACCAAAAAAAGAGCAGGGCCTGGTGATGCATGCCTGTAATCCCAGCACTTGGGAGGCTGAGGCAGGAGGATTGTTGAAAGTTTGAGGCCAG